ATATGCCTGCAGTCATGATATTGATATTATTATTGATGTTTACTTTAGTATGAGTTTCTGCGGAGTACAGTGTTTATAGTACTCACGCTCCCACTATTATGATTCTTTTCATGAGACAGGGTCGGTCCGGAGGAGTGAGTGGAGCGGGTGGTCGCCGGTCCAGTACATGTAAATATGTTTATATTTTTGCCGACTGTTGATATGTATATATTTGCCACGTTTTACTTCCGCTGACGTCTTTAGACTTTTAAACTAGCGTGTAAATTTTCAGGCGACGATCCGAGCTTACGGGTCTAGTTTTATATAGTATCACGCGCTCGTTTTATAATGATAATCCGTTTTTCATAAATGGGTTTATAATTAACGGATTTATAGAAAAGAAATGTTTTATGTAGCATCCCAATATATGTTTCGCAAATTAAAACGTAAACTTTATAAAGGGATTTGCGAAAATCACACTCTGATTTTAGTAAGCTAGTGGGGTGTTACAATTGGTATCAGAGCACATTTTCGTGTATCTGAATACTTTTAAAGGTAGAAATTTTTAGAAAAGACCCGACCATGCTACGCTCACGCCTCGCCGACTATCAGGTAAGTGCTGAAGTTCAGTTTATTTGTATATTTAAATGAATACTTAAGTCTATGCTAAGTAGAGGGTACCGGATTATTGACCCTAGAAACCAGTAAGGTGCTCGAGTATTTTCAGAACTTAGTCAATTATCTTAGTTATTTGATAGTTTGACTTTAGTATTCTCGGGTTATTTAGCGACTCGTCAAGAGATTTGTGTACTTAAGTAACCAATCAGTTAATCTCCTATGTTATTTAATCATGTTAAATATTTCAATGTTCAGATGCCTGCTCGTAGAGAGCCAGATCACCAGGAACTCCCACAGGCCACAGTGGTCGCTTTGTTTCGCGACTACCACCCAGAAAAGTTTTCCGGCCAAGGAGATCCTCGTGTAGTAGATGAATGGGTTCAGGGTCTCGAGATTATTTTCGAGGTCATGAACTGCCGCGACCGTTATCGCATGTTATGTGCCCAGATCCAGCTGACCGGTGATGCCAGATTCTGGTGGCAAGCCTATTGGAGTATGCGTCCCGGTGAAAAAGACGGTTGTACGTGGGACCAGTTCAAGGAGTTGATCCGAGAAAAGTATTATCCCTCGTATTTCCGAGCAGACATGGAGCGCCAGTTCTTGGCACTCACTCAGGGTACTCGTACTGTTGACGAGTACGAACGAGAGTTCACCCGTCTCGGAGCCTTTGTACCAGATCTTGTAGGTACGGAAGCAAAGAGAGCCCACCGCTTCACCGACGGACTTCGCCCAGCAGTCCGCCACAACATCGTAGGCCACAGCGTCCAGGCCTATGCCCGCACAGTTGCCATTGCACAGGAAGTCGATGCCAGTATCCGACGTGAAGCCATCCAGACACCAGCCCAGCCAGTTGCTTAGCCATCAGCCCAGCCTAAAGTAGCCCAACCATCAACAAACCAGAAGAAAAGGAAGCTCAGAGGGGGTTCAGATAACCGGAGGACCCGTCCCAGACAATATCCAGAATGCCCAACCTGCGGGAAACACCACCGTGGAGAATGCCTCGTGGGCCAGAATGTTTGTTTCTTTTGCCGCCAGCCAGGTCACTTCAGCAATAACTGTCCAGAACGATTGCAACAACAACCGCAACAACGTCAACAGCCACAACAACCTCAACAACAGCAACTTCAACAACAGCAGCCCAGGCAGCAACCACCACGACCACAGCAACAGCAACGCGGCAGACAACAGGCTCGCGTTTGTGCAGTTGACCAGAGGGAGGCCGACCAGCACCCAGGTACCATGTCCGGGATGATTATTCTTAATGATGTGCTTGTCTATGCCTTATTTGATACNGGAGCGACCCATTCTTTTATATCACGTCGATGTCTCGAAGCTATTGGGGTTCGTTCCACTACCGCTGTCGATCCTCTCGAGGTGAGTTTAGCCTTGGGAAGAAAGATAGTGGCTGACGCTAGAGCCACCGATCTCAGCCTTTCCATCGGCGGCCGTATTCTGTTTACTGATACTTATGTTATCGAGATGAGGGATTTTGACCTCATACTCGGTATGGATTGGCTAACTCGATTTCACGCAGATATTCGATGTTATGACCAAGAGATTACTCTTTATCTTCCGGGAGATGATCAGATCACTTATTACGGCTCCAGGACTCGTACTCTGCCACATATTATTTCTATGGCGAAAGCCAGAAAGATTCTTCGACGAGGTGATTGCCAGGGTTATCTTGTGAGCCTCGTTGGAGATAAGTCGAAGGCACGTTCACCTCGTGACATTCCTATCGTTCGTGAGTTTGTGGACGTGTTTCCAGACCAGCTTCCCGGAGGTCTGCCTTGTCGACATGTGGAATTTTTTATTGATCTTATCCCTGGAGCCGGACCCGTTTCAAAGGCACCGTACAGAATGGCGCCTAAAGAATTGCAGGAATTAAAAACCCAAATTCAAGAGTTGCTGAATCTCGGTTTTATACGACCGAGCGTTTCTCCTTGGGGAGCACCAGTCCTTTTTGTCAAGAAGAAGGATGGATCCATGCGTATGTGTATCGACTACCGGGATCTTAACCGGTTGACGATCAAGAATAAATATCCACTTCCCAGGATTGATGATTTATTTGATCAGTTGAGGGGTGCCTGCGTGTTTTCCAAGATCGATTTGCGTTCAGGCTACCATCAGCTGAAAATCAAGGAATCAGACATACCCAAGACAGCTTTTCGTACGAGATACGGTCACTTTGAGTTCGTGGTTATGCCGTTTGGCCTCAGTAATGCCCCGGCAGTATACATGGACTTGATGAACCGTGTATTTCATCCTTTTTTCGACCAGTTCGTTATTGTTTTTATCAATGATATTCTTATTTATTCCAAAAGCCAGGAGGAGCACGAGGAGCACCTGAGGGCCGTTCTTTCGACTCTTAGACGAGAGGAGTTATATGCAAAGTTCTCTAAGTGCGAATTTTGGCTTCAGCGAGTGGCTTTTCTTGGCCACATTATTACTTCAGCAAGTATTGAAGTTGACCCTTACAAAATTGCTGCAGTCCAGAATTGGTCAGCACCAAAGAATCCGTCCGAGGTTCGTAGTTTCCTCGGTCTTGCAGGTTATTATCGTCG